TCCATGTTCTTCTGGAATATTCTTCTGTAGACTGCCTTCTGTTCAGAAATAATGGTGCCAAGTTTCCCTTGGAGGTGGTTATACATTGCAGTTGTTTTTGCAGGTTTTAGGTGCTCGGCATCTCCCTAAACTTGGTAGGAGCATCGCTTGTCCCTTTGTAGAGGTTGAAATTTGTGGGGCTGAATATGATAACAACAAATTCAAGACAACAGTTGTGAGTGAGTATCTGTGGGTTTCTGTGTTGTATGAATGTGGTTATACTTCCAGTGTACTTAAGTGGGTAGAGGATGACCATGCATTTATGTTGCCTGTAATTGGCCAGCAACCTATAGAGAGTGGAATAAATTAACTGTTATTCTGGACTGATGTGTCACACAATTGCCTCAGGGCCAGTTAATTTGAGAGACTTCAGTGTATATCAAATTTAGAAAAAATAGTACTGTTGCAGTTTGGAAAAAAAAGAAAAGAAAAAGTCCCATTCTGTTATGTTTTTGCCTATGCATATGTTTATGAATTTGCATATTTAAAAAATTGTTGTCTTGAAAGTGCCTCCAACAGTGCTAGTCAGTTCCCAAAAGTCTGGTCCAAAAGGGGATTTACTGCTGTGAGATCCAGACTGTTTATTTCAACTTGGGTTCCAAGACTGGCACTTCCCTGGAGCCAGCTTGGGTATATAGGGCTGTAAAGTAATATAACTTGCAACCCAATAGAAGTTAATCAAACTCACTCCTGGGGAGTTCTGGATGAGGGATGTGTGTTTGTGTGTACATGAGTTTCATTTCAGTGCACTGAAATGGGGCAATATCTCAGCCACTTAATATTTCACCACTTAATGTTTCTGGATGCAGCAGTAAACCACATGGATGCTCTGGTAAACAACAGCCTTTGGTTCTGATTATCCAAACCAGTAGTACCAGTGAAAAATAGACACAAGATCAGAAGCAGAATCTGCATTGTGGCTCCTTAGTACTTCCGAGATAAGGATTAGGATTTAAACTTTTTGTGGGAAGTGGCCAAGACTTCAGGGAGCAAAATTCCTGGCTATGTCATTTATACCAAATACTGGTGTTCTGTCCATGACTACAAGAATTGGGCCAAGGTACATGAGTCTTGCTAGTGCTTTTCCTGCTTTTACTTGGATATGGAGCATGAGGCTTATGAATCTTAGCATGTCCAAAGAGGTTTTTATATGTTTAAATACAAATAATAGCTTTTCTTCATGGATTTTCGTCCCTGCCAAGTTTCTTTCTATCTCCCCCACCAAGTAAACAAATACAAACTTTCTGAAGCAAGGTTACAACATGAGACAGATGGTAAATAGGATTTTTGAGCCTTTGTGTCCCTAGAAAATGTCCTGGGATATGTACCCATATGTGGATGAGGTGAAATTACTGCTTTATTCTGCAAATGTTTTCTTTTCATTACAGATGACAATGGCCTTAATCCAGTTTGGGCACCCTGTGCAGAGCATGTAAAATTTGAAATTTATGATCCAAACCTCGCATTTCTGCGCTTTGTTGTTTACGAGGAGGATATGTTCAGTGATCCCAATTTCTTAGCACATGCCACTTTTCCCATCAAGGGAATCAGATCAGGTAAGATCAGTGGTTATAACGAGGGGCTATGTCAGAAAGGTGCTGTTTGGTGTTGTTGTACTGAGACTACCTCTCTGATGCCAGACCCCCTCCTTCTTGATGATGCCAGACTCCCTTCTTCCTCTCTGAATCCTTCCCTTGGCTTTAGGGAGCATGTGAATTCATGTGTTTCTCAGTTTTGCATTCTTCACTTTTGCTCCTCCTCTCAGCAGTGGAGCATTTGAGCAACAAAGAATCTGCTAGCCCTCAGGACTGTATGCACTATTTTTGTGATTCCAGGTAACCCTTTGCCTTGACTCTAATTTTCCTTTGTGTATGTTCCCCCCCTGCCCCAGGTTTTAGGTCAGTACCTCTCAAGAATGGCTATAGTGAAGATATTGAGTTGGCCTCACTTCTGGTTCACTGTGAAATGCAACAAGTTCTGGTGAGAACAACTGGAGTTTTTTTGTGCACTTAGAGTGTATATTATCAGTTCTTTGTGGAAACCAGGAACTGAGGATGTAGTTTTCTGTTCTGTGTCTGATGTGCTGTTGTCAGGCATTTCTTCTGCAGGTACTGGGGAAGACAAATAGTGCAAATTGAGTTACTCTTCCTCTGGGTGGACAGATATGGTTGTTAAAAGAAATAATGCACAAACAAGTCCTCATTACCTCCACTAGTTTTTGCTGTAACAGCACGGTCGTTGTCTTTCCCTGTTAACTGGCTGATGCCATGCAAAGCTAGCTAAATTCAGCTTTGGCTTCCTAGAATAATCGCTTTTTTAAAGGTGCAACATAAAAAGAAATCACTTTAGCAAGAGAAGATAGTAATTTCTCCCAGTATTTCATTAAAATAAACAACCCTTCAAGTGGAAGATATATCTGGTTCTGACAGAAGTGCTAATCTGCTTCTTTTAAGCCTCTCTAAAACACACACTTGAAGTATGAGGATTTTAAAACACATAGGGGGAAAATAATGCTGCATCCCTTCCTCATGAAGCCAGACAGTAAAGTGGCTGATCTGTGAACAACATTTGCTGGTGTTCCAAAGGTGTTGCTGTATGTGCTGATTTGAAGAGGAATTGTTTTCAGACACTATCTTGATAATATTTTATGTAATTTAAATACACTTGCATAGAGACCATGTGGTGAAAGCTCAAAGATGCTTCGGGGAAGTGGCTGTTTCAGGGTGCTTTCCAGTACCCTTCAGAATATTGAGAGATAAAAAGAAGCTCAACTTCTTATTTGTAGTCTGCTACAACCATTCGAACTTACTCTGCAGTTCACACCAGTGTGCATTATTTTTCTGATTTAAACAACAACTTCTGCGAACTGTAAGTCATTTTGTCTCTGGAGGGACTTGCACCTGCAGTTGCATACACTGAAATGGAAATTGCTGAATTCAGCCACATTGTTCTTCCCAAAGGAGTGGCAGATTTTATCAAACATCCTCTGCAGAGGTTTTCACAGAGCCAACTTAGAACACATGGTAAAAAATGACTCTGTGCAATGACAGCATTTGACAGCCATGGTAAGTTCTTTCTGTAGGCTAGCAAAGAGTCCTGGGAGCAGAGAGGGCTGGAAGCTGGAACCAGGTGTGTGTGTGTGGAAACAAGAGAGCTGAGTCCTTTGAAGATAATGTTTAAAATATTCATATTTTATGGACACGAATCTCATAGAAGAAGCCGGATAACCTGCTGGTTTTTGGCTTGCTGTCTTTGAGAAAACTAACAGCAACTCACCATTGCCTAATGCTGAGCAGGGACATCAGCTGTAGATATATTATGAATCCTCCTGTTGTGGTTTCTCTTCAGGAGTTCAGATCATTATTTGCCTGGGGCAGGAGCAGCTCTTAAAGTGTTGTTCATAGCAGCAGTCTGTCTCCCAATCTGTCAGCAGAGTCCTTTGACAGTAGCACATTTCACACTCTAGAAGCCCCTTCTGCTTGCTAAGCCAAATGAAGGTGCAGCTCAGCTCTGTATTCGTACAATGTCTGACACCTCTGGGTGGTAATACAGTGGCAGAACATTCAAAAAATCTTCCCTTTTGTTTGGCAGTCTGCAACAAACCCAGACTTGCCATAGCCATCAGCTCTAGACCTCTTAGGTGTCCCTGCCCATGGCAGGGGTTGGGACCAGATGATCTGTAAGGTCCATTCAAACTCCTAAATTCTATGAGTCTATGATTCTCTTGCCAGATCATTCAAGGAGCACCAGAAAAGATCGAGGCTGTCTCTGTTCTTCTGCCTCGTTTTAAAGAATGATGACCCTCCATAAACTTATAGCATTTAATAACAGGCCTGTTTATAAGAGCCCATTTGCATACTCTTGGAAATGAAACCCAAAATTATCAAGAGGAATTCCAGATGGCTGTGAAATTCCTTAGGAATAGAGAAGCAAAAATTTGTAGACATAAGCATGCACATTTGTGTGTTATCGTGTGGTGCCTTATGCAGTTCCTGGAGAACTTAAACAGTTTTCTTGATATTGCAGAAATTGTACTGTACTGGGGTGGTTGTTGCATGTAGAAACATGTCTTATCTGCTTGAAAATTATTTACTTCCTTCAGAAAATGTGTGTATCTCCTCAGCATTTTCTCACTAGAATCAGTCTCAATGGTGTATGTGTTTTTAATATAAAGATTGAAGTGGACATTCTTAAATGCAGTTACAAGGTTTACCTTTGTGGATACATTTATTTACAAGAACTAATAGTAGTACATATGCATCTTGATGATTAGACCTGCAAGTTGGTAATTGGCAATCTGCTTTTCCTTTGTGATTTGGGAATACGAAGTTTCCTACTGCTTTACAAACAAAAATTAAATAAATTAGTCTTAAAAATCTTAATCAGTAGCATAGCACTGAGGCTGTTTCTGCTGCTTCAACCCATGCCTGGGTAGGAATATGTAGAAACAGAAGGCTTAGGAAAGCATCTTGTTGCCATAACTGAACCCCTTGGGTATGATGCTAACTTACAAATTTTCCTAGATCTGGAATGAATGCAGAAACAGGAATTCCTATCAGTATGCTGCTGTTGAAAATTTTGGATTTATTACATTTATTGATTGCATGTCATTTCTTGTAGGATGAGTATCTTGTTTTGCTGCTGATGTGAAAATTAAGACTTAATCCTGCCAGTACTATTCCCCACTAGTAACTCTATAAAGAGACAGCTTTTGCATCCAAGGTTTTGAAGTATTAAAATAATTTGAAGCCCTAAAGGGAATCATGATGATTGTTTTATGGTTGTGGAATGTTTTGAGACCTTCTACTTTGGGCCACATACAATGACAGAAACTCAGGCACAGTCAACTTCCCTGAATTCCCATAGCTTTGTAGGCTTACAGGATCCATCCTTCTTTTTGATCATCTGTGTGCTTGCTGCTATTAGGGGTCCTATTTACTGGTCAGTATTTCTACCATTAGTTTAGTTTTCAATAGAAAATCCTCAGTTCTGATGGTGTGTTGCATAATACACAAATATGAGGGAAGAGTCATAAATAGTATTTTAAAAGCTGTTAACCCATCATGGTACACTATTTGCTGTTTTTCTTCAACAGACTGAATGCTTTATTAGGGAAAAATATTCCAATAGAAGTATTTAGATACACACATTTTGTGACTTTTGCTAGATTTTTTAGCTGGGGTTTTTTAGTGCTTTCTTAATCAGTTTGTTTCCATAAACATTCCAGAATCATCTTATTAAACTGATTATTTAAAGCATTCTACAGAGCTATTAGAATGCCTTTAGGGAAACAAAATAATCCCCCAAACTGTGTTGATTGTGTGTCATTCTGGGTATGTGTCTTAGAAGTTACCTTGATTTCCAATATTCTTTTGAAGGAATGTGAAGAAGAGCTTTATTCCTCATGTCGGCAACTTCGGAAGCGCCAGGAGGAGCTCAATAACCAGCTGTTCCTTTATGACACCCACATGAATTTAAGGAATCCTAACAGAGATGCTATATTGAAAGAATTCAATGTGAATGAGCACAAACTACAGATGTATCAAGAGACATGCAACCGCAGGTGGGTTGATAATCAATCTCCTTTCCAGGGCAGATCAATCTAGACATTATTTATGGTAACGAAACCTCAGGTGTGTCAAAATGAGCCTCTAAAGAGTGGAGAGGGTAGAATGAGCACATCTGAAGTAAGGAAGGGCTGCAGAAAAGCCAGACGAGGCTGCAAGCCACTAGAGGCCAGCAGATGCTGTGGAATGTCTGCTCAGTGACGTCTCAGTTTCAGCTATCACAGTGAAACATGTAATCCTGCGAGTTTTTAGATTCCTCTCTTCTGCTTTCCAGGAGGAAAGCCTGGAAGTATATACAGAGAAATAAAAAAAACACCTCACTTTTTCTACACTGCCAAAGTTATGTCCCTGGAAGTGTCATTAACCTGTTAGATATGTGGGAACAGAGAACACTTCCAGATACACAAACCACACAAGATAAAACCAGTATTGAGTTGTAACAGCACAGCATTGTCAGTTCAGTGTCAGTGCACTCTCCAGAGCTTGGGGGAAGCTCTTTCTCCTTTGCTGCCACTTTTGGGCTGGGTGTGAGGGACACATAGAGAGGCTTCATGCACCAGGAGAAAGTCTTGAGTAGATCTCAAGATGGAATGGAAGAAAGACTTTAACTATTCTTACCCTTTGTCACATATGCTGAACAGCTGCATGAATAACTGGTTTACTCTCATTTATTGAGGAAAAAATTTGCAATGCTTGTTCCTGATACATTACTTGCCATTTGTATCTAAATTGAACTTGGTAGACTGTTTTCCTCTTAGAAATTCCTAGTAGACTTGACTTTTTCCTTTTCTTTTTCCTTAAGATTAAAGGAGAAGAAAGTCAGTAACAGCAAATTCTACTCTTAAAGCTATCATTCATTGATGTGTACTGGATGGTGTGATTCAGGAGGAGATGGATCTATCCTGGCCATCCCACTCAATGATGGTCTCATCAGACTGAATGACTGCAAGAAAAGGAAGAAGAGGAAAGATGGCTTTCCTTAATACTTCTTGTTATATGAAAAACTGTTTTAACTGCTAATAATTTATATTCTGTACAAAGCACACCCTCTGTGCAGGCTTCTGTGTAGTCAAGATTTTTAAAACCGAAGGACGTGTAAGTTGGATAGACCTCACTTCTCATCAATACCTGAAGTACAAGTATAAATCATCTATATTTGTGTACTCAGGCTGTAGATAAGACATTCACAACAATTTGCATGCATGGAATCACACCACTTTAACAACCTGGCTCCTCAAGATTAACTGGTAGTGAGTTTTTAATTTATTAAATGCTGTAAAAGCACTTCTACACCAGCACTGTCATGTCATGTGTGTTACAGTCCCCGAGACAGCAGATGTGTTTCTGATACTGTATAAAATATTTTGGGCAGCTGAGAGCTCGTACCTTATTGTCTCTTATTAAAAGTTTTCTGTTCTATTTTGGAGAAGGAGATTATATGTTAATTTTATTGAAAGTAAATACCCTTTGTGACTGTAGCTGAGTCTTTCCTGTGGAACTTTCTGTAAAGGTTAAAAAAGAAGCAATGTGTGAACCTGTATTCCTAGCCCCTGTGAACCTGTGTTCACAGCTCAAGGCACTGGCAGGAAAAGTTTTAAGGTATGCAGGAGGACATATCTGTTTGTTTGCAGAAAGGGAAGGTGTTTGAAATTCAGAGAAGCATTTACTTTGGTATAGTATCATTTTGCAAATCCTTTCAGCTGCTAATGTGCTTAGAAATGAATTTTTAAATGAACTGTCAATTTTTAATCTTGCAATCCTACTTAGATGATAGTCAGATGATAGTGTTCTGTAAATGGAGACCGTTTTCCCCAAATGTAACTAATCCCAGAATGGCTGTATGCACAAATATAGAGGTGCATCGTTCTTGTGCCTTTCATCAAATCAAGGATGTGGAGTTACAGATGAGAAAACTCATTTGATTAGCAAGTGTGTTTTCCTGCCAGAGCAGAACTAAAGTCCTTTGATGGAATATTTAACACCAGTTGTCATAATTTGTGTATGTGTTGATTCTTTGTGCTATCACTGTGTTATTATTATTATCAAATCCCTGGATGCTTTCTCTCTACATGGGTGGAGTTTTGCTATCTATATTCCTGACTTTTACTTTCAAATGTGTGCAGAGGAGTTTAGTTTTCTGAGTGACTGCCTGAGGCATAAAATGCTGCATCTATAATGCTATATTTCTGATCAGAGAAAACTTGCATTGATTTGGCATTCATGGCATGATGCAGCTGCCTCAGCAATTTTCAATTTCTCTTGCTCCCCACGCTATGACTTCTGTGTTTCAAGAGGCTCTTAATTGATGCCATTGTGCATTCACAGATGATGGTTTGAGGAACCCCCTTGAGATTTTAGTTATTCTGTAAAGACAGTCTTGTCTCGAAGATGAAAGTGTTATAATAGTGTATCCCTCAATGGGGTGGCTCCTGTAAATTTTTTATTACGAAGAAATTAATTACTAATCACCCAACTGAAAAACAGAGCAAAGTTAAAGGCAATTCTCTGCTTTTCATCCTCCTGCCTGAAATCTCTTCAGTACCCAGTTGTGATTGACCTGTTCAAGGGTTAGATGGGTGCAAACCCCCCTCAAACAAAGAAAAAAGTCCCATCAGCTGTGGATTTGGGAGGTGGAGCTGCAACCTAGACTCTGTATAAAGCTAGGCTTAGCTGCAGTATCCAGGTCTAATGAGGTGATCCAGTTGCTCCTTGAGGTGGGGGTATTTTGTAGCATGTTTCAGGATGTGGTTAGTTTGCCATATGATCAGTCCCTGTGTTATATATTTCACTCAATAGCCTCTGTGATCCCCATTCGATGCTGTGAGAACACTGTGCTGTCAGTGTTGATCACAGAAAATGGCCCAAAGCTTTGTCTGGAAGGCCCTGAGGTGTCTGCTGCCTAGGACAGGGTTTATAGGCAGCTGAGTACCAATGAGGTTTGGACTGAGCACAAAAAATAGGAGACTACAAGATGCTAGGGCCTAGGGAGCTCAAACCCCAGAACTGTGGCGGATTTTTTGTCCTGTTTGTGGGGATTATGTTTTTAAGCTCAGTTCCAGAGCAGACACAACCAAACTGTCCATTTGTCCTGGATTCTTTCGTTGGTGTGTGTACTCCTGACACAGGACAGTCATTGTGTGATGAACACAGGAGTTCCTTGTGCTGCTGCTGTGCAAATATTGAAGAATTCGCACATTTTGTAGTCCTTTGAAAAGTCCTGTGCACATTGTCCACACATACTGATGTCAGAAGTTATGAGGCACTCCTTCAGTATTTATGAAAATGCTTTTACAGTAACACCCAGAGGATGATGCTGCACAGTATGCAGAATGAAAATACTGCAGTGACTGTCCTGTTGACTTGCAAGTGGTGAGAAAGGCTATGTTTTAACTCTTCTCTTTCTAGCATTCTATGTTTTAACTCCAAGACCTCAGTTCTTTGTCAGGGCAGACTCTGTAGCAACTTTTTCACAGCTGTCAACTGTTTGAATATGAAAGTAAGTCTGAATGTGTGTGGTAATTTTTTAGTCTGAGAGGAAAAACATTTATAAAACTTGGAAGTTAACCATTGTTAAATTGTTATATTCTTATACAAACTGTTTTAAACCCTTGAAATAACTTATTTTAATAAATAATTTTTGATATCTCAGCAGTGATGTGAATGATGCCAGATGCTACTTTGTTTAAGCTTTGCTCCTGGAATTGCATGGATTTTGCCAGTCATTTGAAGCAGTGTGAGCTCTTATTGAAGAGTGGTCTGCTGGTGTGTTCTGCTAGAAGTTGGAAGAAGGGAATTTCTGTGTTTTTAAGATGAACTGACTTACTGATTGTTTCCATAGACATAGTTATCATTGCACTTCATCTGACTGCAAACATGCAGGGCAGAAGGAAAAGGTCAAAGATCGTGTTTAACCTGTGCCTCCTAACCAACCTTTCTCAGTGATAGGTAGATATAAACTTCAGCCCTAGTGAGAATCAGGTTTATATGAACTCAGACAATAAAGTCTGAACAAGAAAAAGTTTGTAGTAATTGGGAGGAACAGTAATCTTGAGGTTTACCAAAAAATGTTATCAGCACACTTTGTGCCCATGAGGTTGCATGGGCAGAAGTGCAGCTGGGTGAATTCACATTGTCTTTATGTTGGGATTATTTAATTGTTGGGAGGCTTGGAAGCAAAATTTTTCTCAATTTCTTCATAAGAATTATATGCTTATTGAACATGAATCAGTATGAGGTGTCTGCAGCCTAATTCTTCTAGAAGGCCATGAGATAAGCCAAAGAGTCTTTATCACCTTTGCATTTGTGAGTATTGGTATGCATGAGTTCTGCAGTCCAAAAAAATTGCTTCATTTAGGTGTTTTGTTACCTCTGTTCTCACTTTTTTTCCACCCCATTGCATCTCTATGTTTTTCTGTTGAAAGCATCTTGTTAGTTTTGCAGTTCTCAAACTAACCTCCTGGATGGTGACATGGCCTGAGCTGTGCTTCCATCTCCACAATCAGAATGCAGCCTGGAAGCTGAAATGCAGTGGTTGATTCTGCTATAGTTTTGTGTCAGCATTTCTAAGTGCAGTCCAACTAGCTGGCTTTGTTCCAGACTGAAATTCCATTTGTATCATTAGAAATAGAAGCTAAATATACTGAAAATTAACCTTCAGAATCAGTTCAGAGACAAATTCATCTTCTGCTCCATAATAGTATTTATAAACATGCACAGCTATTAGTTTTAAAAGAATGTAAATTAAATTAAAAGCAGTTTCTTTCGTTGCCAGTCCACATTCTTAGCTGTTACTCCAGAAATATAGGGAATCTTGAGCTTGACTAAAATAAAGAAGTAGTTCCCTTAACACTTCTGTACTCCTGAATTGCAGTTTAATCCCCAAATCTTCTATAATATGTGTAAATTATCAATATTCAATACACTTTTCTTTAAAGATCACATCATGAATTACTAAATATGCCACTATATTTTGGAAAGTATGTAGAAATCAATAATAAATAGAAATGAAGGAGAATTTTGGTTGGGTCCCATAGGAGAAGGCACTATAAAAATCTGGTCTACTTTAAGGTTGATTAGACATCTAAAATAAATACATTTGAATACACATTAGAAGTGTAAGTTTTTCATGTATCTCTGGCAAATTTGTACCTTGGCATGCTGTGTCTGAGGTTAAGACCAAGGATTCCTAACCTATTCACCACTTTAAACACCAGTATCATTCTTTATAGTGATGCTTCTACCAATTGCTCAGTAATTTTGAGGACTAGGAAAAACTGAATCTGTCCTATATTTCCATTCTGCTTTTTCAGTTTTTAGATGCATTTCTGGTAGTTCAGGTTCAGGAAAACAGGTAATAAATTAACACTTGGAAACAGACACGACACTTGAATTAATTACCTTAATTTACTCAGCTATTCATGCAAGAGGAGTAAGAACAACAAATGGGAGGAAGGAGAGAGAATCCTCATTGTAAAATACTTAAAACAGCAGCTGTGACTGGCTTTACATGGGTGGAATTTTCAAGCAATTTTAGAGTATCTCCTTAAGCCACAGAATTCCTGTTTTCCTTTTGGAAAGAGGAAAATATCCTGCACCTCTTTTGTAGTCAGGACTGTGCTTTTTTAATGGGATGGAGCCAAATGACAGGGAATTAGCCACTGTGGATGGCTCTGGGGTTGCCATTGCCAAGCACTGCCTGTGCCTCCCCACAAGTACCTGATTTAGTCCCCTCTGCTCGAGCACAACCATGAGCCAAAAGGACAAAATAATGCCTCCTGCTCTGTCATCAGTGAGGAGCTCTGCCCTTGACTCCACACAAATGAAAAGGTTCATGTGTTGAGCTCAGCTTCTGCTGGAGTTCTAGTATATGTGGCTTTGTTGGACTTTTTTTGTCTTAGGAGCTTTCTCTGCTGTTCTGCCTCAAAAGCTGTCCAGGCCTTGAGCCTGAGCCAGTACTGACAGTGTGAATTTAGGCTTCATGGCTTTAGGACCTTTTCATAGATTCTTTTTTAATTAACCTCACAGTTAAGATAATTATAAATAGCTGAGTTTTGCTAAAATATCACAAATAGCAGAGGAGATTCCTCCAAGGCACAGGAGTTGTGTTCCATATCTTAAAATATTTTTTTTTCACAAGACATAGCATGAAATACTAGAAATGCTGATACTGTTTCTGTGCAATAGGATTGTGAAATTTTGTGTACATACTGGTTTTGACTTCTGCTGGAATTTAAATTTCTAAATCTATTTCTGATAACATCATGTCAAACCCAGAGAACTTAAAGGGGAAAACAACAAAGTGGTTTCCACTTGAAAAAACAGAGCTGTTGGAAAGAGAACAGGGCCCAGTGCTTTCACGAGGTCATGACTGTCTGTCTTCTGTTTTATTAAAAAGAAGGCTTCTTCTTTCTGCAGAAGATGATGGTGTATATTAATGATTTCTGGAGAGTGGCCCTCCTGCCATCAGCACTCTGTTGGAGACACATAAGCTCTTTGTAACAGAGTGCACCACTCCTGCTAAGCAGTTTATTTGCTATTAGAGGAAAAAAGACAAGTGATTTCTCTCTTGAGCTGTCCCTCAAGCTAAGTATTAGTTTCTTTCATGGTGTACTTACTGGTAGTGGAATGAAGGAGAAAAGTCAGATTTCAAGCAAAATAAATCCAAAAGTTATCAACAGTATGGTTTGTTGGGATTTTTTTTAAGGTAAACTTCCCAGGAAGAGAACTCAAGAGTCAAAAAATCATGCTGTCTTCAGTCATCATTTAACTCCAAACACCTCCATCTTCTAGAAAGGGGTGGCAGTGGACTTTTAGCTTGGTTCCTCTCTTTAGGCACTTTTGTTTTCTGAGACTCCTTTAACAGTGCAGTAGAACTACTGTTTGCCTCTTCCCCATTTCAGTCACAGCAGAGTTTAACAGAACTGAAGTAACTGGAACTTAGAATTACTTTAAGATCACTGTAGCTCCAGCTATTAAAAGGGGGGAAGACCAAAGTTTAAATAGAAGTGTGAAATCCTTGAAGGACTGTCCTTTTATCAAAGGGTACAGAAACTGTAATGCTGATGGGATATGGGAAAACAACTCTGTGATTTAACATTTTGAGGCAAAGTTTCTCAGCATCTCTCCCTCAATTAAACAATAGATATGAGGGAGTTTGTAGGAACAGCAGTGACCTGTATTTAACAAGCTCTTATTTTCTGTTCTTAAAACTCCACAAAATCATGACTTTCCTTGTAGCAAGTGTTTGTCTTCCTACTACATAGGCAAAGTTCTATTTAAATGGTGTCAGGTGTTAAAGAACTATTATTAAAGGCTAAAAATGTTTTCTAAATAGTGGAATGTGAATGTAATCACTTACCAAATGTCTTTTGATGGATTATTTGTTTAACCATTCAATAATGCTGGGAAAAATCATAGGTTTTATTTATGAGTGCACTTTAGCTACCTCATTCATTTTAAACAGGCATATTTTACTGTTAGAAAAATCTACAAATCTGTGGTGCTTCAAGCACTTTGCTATAATTTAGATTAACCATGGTGTATTTTCCAGAAATGTCATTAGATATCCCAGAGTTGACTCAGAAAAGCATACCAGAATATATCCATGTAAAAACCACCATTTGTTTATTATCTAGGAGTTTATCAGTTAATCTTGGTTAGGCATATATACATCCAAGCTGGAAAGCAGAACTGGATTTTGGAATATGATCAAAGAACAAGTTTATTCCCCTCTGGATCATGTAGCACAAACTCTTTAGGAATAAAGAGCATAATCCCATCAGAGAGGAAGAAGAGTCAGTTTAAGGACATTTGTTCCACTCACTGTAGTGTGCTGTTGTACCTGAGAATAAAAGGCTCTTTGCAGTAAGACTGAAGTTTATATAGTTAGTGATCTGACCAGTTTTACTTCAAAGATAAACTATATATAAAAATTACACCTCTTTACTCAGCAGTTCTATTCCTTGGGGATAAAACTGTTATTTACCTGAATCACACAAATGTGTGATTTTTGTTCTAAAAATCTTATTACCTGTCTTGTCAAAACCAGGAGCACGCAGAGAACATAACTAAATCTGTCCTCTATGCTCAGCATTTCATCTTTTAGAGTGAAAATGTAACTGCAGATGGAAACCATGAGACCATCACAGCAATCAGCAGCAAAAGCAAGGCTCCATGCCTAATAAGGTGCTTCATGGTGTAACTTCTTGGCTTTGCCCCACACCCCTGGGATCTAAACCACTCCACCACTTCATTCAGGCTGTACTGCTGAGGCTCATAGCCCAGCTCCTTCCTGGCCTTCTCCATACTGAAATAATGTGTGACACCAGTTTTGTAAACCTCTGTGCGAGTCAGGAGGGGCTGAAAATTATAAATGTGTCCTACAAGACAATGAACTACCTCAGTAAGGAATGCAAAAAAGTAGACAAGGGAGAGAGGAAGGCGACGGGTTGGGAATTTGTAACCCAAACCTTCCACTAATGGTCGGAAAAACTCAAAGTTGTTTACAGGCCTCTCATCTGAAATAAAATAGGCTTGGCCTGCAGCTATGTGCTTCTTCTTGGCTGTGAGGGCCTCAGAGGCAAGGATATGAGCCTGAACCAGGTTGTCTACATGTACAAATTCTACTAAACTAAGTGGATCTCCGTATACAAATTGAAACAGTCCCCTCTCAATGTAACTGACTATTCTGGGACAAAGTTGTTTACAGGCCTCTCATCTGAAATAAAATAGGCTTGGCCTGCAGCTATGTGCTTCTTCTTGGCTGTGAGGGCCTCAGAGGCAAGGATATGAGCCTGAACCAGGTTGTCTACATGTACAAATTCTACTAAACTAAGTGGATCTCCGTATACAAATTGAAACAGTCCCCTCTCAATGTAACTGACTATTCTGGGAAGGTGGCTCTCCAGGTTTTGCTGGTCGCAGAGCACAAGTCCTTAATACACCTTTCCCATTTCCAAGCTCAGCACCATTTGCCTCCAGCACTTTCATTTCAGCTAAAGATTTGGTTCGGGAGTAGTGATCAGGATGCAGGTGAAGAGGTAGGTAAGGCAGAGATTCGTCCCCATTTTCTATAACCTGTCCTCCAAATATCACATTGTATGTGCTTGTATAAACCAGACTCGACACTCCTGTGCTCTTGCAGGCCTGGATGACATTTTCTGTTCCTTTCACGTTAACATCTTCTATGAGTTTTCGGTTCAGCTGCTCCCTGCCAGACATTCCATAGGAAGCGATATGGAATACACAGATCACATCTCTGAGAGCCTCTTCCACTTCAGACAGGCAACAGATATTCCCTTGCATGAACTTCATTCCCTCTGGCACAGTTTGAAGTGGCTTCATGACATCAAAGAGAATCACATCAACTCCCTTTTGATACATGGCACAACCTAAACTAAAACATGATAGAAACCATATGTTAGGATACATAGCAGAATGGTGCATGAAACAGTTCATCTGGAGGGAAGAGAAGAAGGGTTTTTTTCTGATGGCTTTTAAATATTCAGCCATCTACTATGGGGAAGATTCAGCTGTGATACCTTAGGTACTGAACTTATTTCTCCTACTCCGACAATACTTTGAAGAAAAAAGAGGCAGAACTGCTGTAAAGGAAAATTCTGAACAGAAATAACTTAAGTGCTTCCAGCAGCCTTTTGGAAGAACACAGCTATTTCTCTGCTGTCCCCTTCAGAGCAGCAATCACAAACCTTTCAGAGGTAAGCATATAGCCAAATATTTTAAAGAAAATTCTTACTGCTTTTGTGCCATTCCAATTGTCAGAACAACAGGTTGGTTTTTTTGCTGTTGTGTTTGAAATTTATGGAGGGGTGAGTGAGATGCTTCTAAGCTGTATAAATACTTTGCCACATGCCACATTTTACACCAACTCACAGCTATAAACACAGGTATTGGCATAAAGTATAACTGGTGTTATCTCCCCTTTTCCTACAACTGTTGCGTGTCTATTGTGCTTTAAGGGGGGGACAGTGGAGAAGGAGGATAAGCAAAGTTGGACAGGCATCTTCTGAGATTTTTTTTGTAGTTTCACCCAACTTGACATTTTCTCTTTGGTCCTGACTCTGATCTTTCTCCCCTCTGTAAGCAGTTGTTACTCTGAAGGTACTCAAGATAGTCTATGGCTCAAAACAGGATTTTTTCTTTACATGGCCTGCAGAACCAGCTAAGGGGAAATGGTTTTCACCAAAATATGTACTTTATTAGCAAATACAATCCTAAAACAACACGGTCCATAAAAATAAATATATTGAGAGAGCAGCTGGAGTATTTAATCCATGGAGCTAAGCACATGTATAACTATTTGCAGGTCAGAAGAAAGATGTGTGTACAAGTGGAGGTTTTTCCTTCAGAGCAGGCTGAAAGGTGGTGTTCTAACCCACATTACAGAGGTGACCAGACAGGCAAATGTAAGCGAGGAACAGGGTAACAGTGTGAGTTACAACATCTGGAAACAGAGTAACATGTTTGTTTAAAGCTGAGACCCTGTGTGAACCAGAAGTTGGGGTGAACTGAGTCAGGCATCTCAGACCCACTGTTTTCCCTTTTACAGATGGATTTAGCTGTCTCCCCAGCAGCAATCTCTTACATTTATTCCTGTATGTAACAACTATTTAACGCACTAACCGGAAGCCAAAATAACCAGCTCCTCCCGTGATGAGCACTCTTCCCTCGGCACTGCTTCCTGGTTCCATCCTCCTCCCTGCGAGCTGAAACTGACCTGCAGGACACATTGCAAAACGCATGAAAACCAAGCTGAATTTTAACGCCAGCACATTCCCTTCTTCCCCGACCTATTTGACGCTTTAAGGAAAACCCTTCATTTCACCATGTGCTGCGCGAGACAGAAGGACATTCAGGAAGGGATTCCTCCGAAGGGAGGCTGTACTCGGAGGAGAGATGACAGCGGTGAAAAAACAAAAAAAGAAAAAGCAGGCGTGTCGCTCGTTCTGCCTGCGCACCCCCCGCGCCCCATTCCCCGCGGCTCCGCCCGTACCTGCAGTGCCGTGCCCCGTCTCGTTTCGTCCCGTCCGTCTGTCCGTCCGTGCTCCCGGGGCGGGGACCGAGCCGCGAGATGGCGAAGGGGCGGAGAGCTCGGGGTGGCTGCAGGACTCTCTGCCGTGATGGCCTTTGGTCCCTCTGGCCCTTGTTTTGCCCTGTTGTGTGCCCGAATGGTGCTGCTCGTCCCGGTCTCTGCCCCAAGGATGATCGATCAGTGCGTGAAGCGCTTGAAAACGTCTCGGGGTGTCTGTGAAATCAGAGAGTTTTCCAGCTCCATCCATAGAATCATAGAATCAACCGGGTTGGAAGAGACCCCAAGGATCATCGAGTCCAACCCTGCCGTGGTTACTAGCCCATGGCACTAAGTGCCACATCCAGTCTCAGCTTGAAAACCTCCAGGGATGGTGAATCCACCACCTCCCTGGGCAGCACATTCCAATGCCTGAGCACTCTCTCCATAAAAAAATCTCTTCCTAATAGCCAAGCTAACCCTCCCCTGGCAGAGCTTGAGTCTGTGCCCTCTTGTCCTGCTGCTGGTTGCCTGGGAGAAGAGACCAACCCCCACCTGACTCCAACCTCCTTTCAGGGAGTTGTAGAGGGTGATAAGGTCTCCCCCGAGCCTCCTCTTCTCCAGGCTGAACACCCCCAGCTCCCTCAGCCTCTCCTCATGGCACTTGTGCTCCAGTCCCTTCACCAGCCTCATTGCTCTTCTCTGGACCTGCTCCAGCACCTCAGTGTCTCTCCTGAACTTGAAGGGCCCAGAACTGCACACAGTACTCAAGGTGTGGCCTCACCAGTGCCAAGTCCAGGGGCAGAATCACCTCCCTGGTCCTGCTGACCACACTGTTCCTGGACATCCAGTCCCAATGTGTGTAACCTTCCCTTCAGGGGGTGCCTGGAAATGTTGCCCCAGGGGTGTGAGGCTCTGCAGAGCTTTGGGCACTTGAGAGAGCCCTTGAGCCCTTGATTTGGGTGGACAGGGAGTTTCTGATGTTGCTGCTAGAGGTTTCTTCATGGAGAGGGTTGTCGAGCATTGGAAGGGGCTGCCTAGGGAGGGGATGAAGTCACCATCCCTAGAGGTGTTCAAGAAACAACTGGACGTGGCACTGAGTGTTAATGGTCTAGTTGGCAAGGTGGTGTTCAGGCAAAAGCTGAACTTGATCTTGGAGGTCTTTTCAAGCCTTAATGATTCTATGTTTCTATGCTGGTATGAAGGCACCACAGCTGCCTCCAAATGCCCTGCCATGTCTGGGGCAGCTGTGCCCTTGCAGCGCCTTCCTAGTTGGCAAGGTGGAGATCAGTCAAAGGCTGATTTTGGAGATTTTTTCCAACATAAATGATTCTGTGAATGCTCCACCATGTTTGGGAGAGCTGTGCCCTCACAGCATCTCTGTGGGTGAAGGTGTCTGTCCCTCACCCTGCTGCATTTGTTGCGTGCCTGAAGCACATCACACACTCACAGAAGTCTCCTGCAACCTGTGCAGAGGTTGAGGTGCTTTTGGCAGTGGGAAAACACACAGCACTGACTGACCTGCAGCAGAATTGCTCCATAGTTAAGCATCAGCAATCCACTCTGAGCTGTCTGTGAGAGAGACCAATGGGAAAACAATGAAGAATTACACTATCAAAGTCTGTTTTGTAGTAGATTCCATTTTTCTTTTGCAGAACTCTGAGTCACTTGGGTAATGTCAGAAAGTGGATTCGGTGTCAAAACTACTTAAAACTCCACAAGTTTCTGTTTTGCAAAACCTTGACAGAAGCAGGCACAGTGTACTGTGTTGTTATTGTGATTGATGGCTGGCAAGAATTAAAACTAAACAGAGCTTAAGAAGAATTCTGTGAACATGAAAGAATATTTTTAGCAATAATTTCTTGCTGGTGAACCTCTGGGACTCTTAAATAGCAATTTCAAGATGGAGCTTGTGCTGTAGATGACTATGCAGAGCTGCTGCTCCTATATGGATGTGCAGAGTGTCTGTCTTGCAGGGCATCCTTCAATCATAGCTGATTTCCCTGTCTACTGTCTGTGTAGCAGAGAGTGGGTTTGACACAGCCTTGAGGCATCCCCTAAAATACCACCCAGACATAAAATTAATGGTGTGCTCACAGAGGTATGAGAATTCTACCTTGCAAACAGAAAAATCACTTATGTATTCCTAAATACTAAATCTTAGTACTCTGTAGGCCTGCATATGCCTTCTGGAATTATTTGACAATGTTTTCCCAAGTGTTTAATCACCTGCAAAGTACAAAAGAGTCCTGACCTTTCCCTGAGATCTGTGGCCACAAAGGGTTTTATCTTCGAGGAGTCCCAGTGAGATTATGGCAGCTGATGTCTGTCTTCTGATCAAAGAGACTGTGTTTGAATGGAATATTGCAGAATCTCAGAATAGCTGAGGTTGAAAGGATATTGCCCTGTTGAACCTCCTGCACAAAGCAGGTTCAGCCAGAGAGGTTACACAGGTCTGTGTTGGCATTGAATATCTCCAAGAATGGAAACTCCACAGAAACTCCACATGTTCACCCACTTTCTCCTCATAGCTTACAGAGCTTTGTTCTATCTGAGCAGTGTCTCTGACCTGTCACTCCATGTTGTATGAGTAAATCCTTGTGTTTGAACAGGCAGCTGTGAGTAGCAGGATGACGTTTTGTCCTCTGGACTTTGTGATGTGTCCATGCAGGACAGTTTGCAGGATTGAGACCTCTCTCTGTACGTTCTGCTTTTTCTTGCTCTGTGTTGGTATGTCATCTACAGTGAGTGAATTGTGTCAGGTGTCAGATTACAGCATAATTAGAGTAAATAGTATGAATATAATAAAGCTATAGTTAAGATGCTGTAAAGATTTTGCTCTTAAATCATTATCAGTTTTATTTCTCAGTTTACTAAACTGTCCTTTTTGGCTTCAAAGAACAGTAAGGAAATTCCTTCAAAATGGTGACATCTGTGAAAGTTGTGGTTAAATATTGTCCTCATTTTAGACTGACAGATTTGATGTTGAGACTTGACACCCTCAGATCTCATTGTCCTGTACAACATTCCCTATGAGACTCTGCTTTTCCTGAGACTTTATGGACTTTCTGAATGTATCATAAATTCTGTTTTGTCATCAAATAAACGGACTTCCAGTTTTACTTCATATGTAATAGAATGTTTGTCCTGAGATCATGTGTTTAAAATAATTATGTAAAGAACCAGGATTTTGGAGCATGCCTTGCATATATCCCAGCACACATCAGACTGTGTTACAGCCACTTGAAGAGATCATATTGATACCTGGAATTACATATTGGGGCAAGATGTGTCAGAATAGAAGCATTTGCAGTGGAAATGGAAGTTATCTGCCACAACCTGCGTTGCAATGAACCTGAAATAGGCTGCAAAGAAATCCTTAAATCAGCAGCTAAACAGAGCTAAAGAAGCAGCTGTAGTGAACAGGGCAAGTTAGAAAGGATGAGCAATGAAATCATTAATTATTCTTTCATAGTACGTTAGTTCATCTGCTTCCCTTTGCAATTTAAAATACTTAGCCAGTAAAATTATTTTTGTCATCAAAATACAAAGTGTGCCAGCAGTACTGTTATAGGAACCAGGGCAATATTTCATCTGGGGAAATAAACCTTAGCTTACTGGTTTTATATTATTTGATTGATTTCTTCTTGGTATTACTTAATGAGAGAAGAGAACAAGATTTAAAACTAGGTCAGAACCAGCCACATTTATGGTCCTGCTAAAAAAAATTAAAACCATTTGGTTAAAATGGTACTAAAATGTAAAAAGAGGATCTTCATTGTGAATGGAATTAGAACTGTAGTGTTCAAAATTAGAATCAAACATTCAATCTAGATTAGACAGGAATATTTTTCAAGCAGGACAGATTTATGGATAAAAACACTAGCCTGACTTTTAGTCTTGGCTCTGACAGAGGTTTCCTGAGTGACCTTCAGAAAATCAATTTCTGCTCTGTGACAAAGGTGTCATTGCACTTCCTCACTGCCCGAGGTTGTGGTCTTGCTGGCTTAATTTGTGCTTCTGATGCTTAAATGGGAGCTGCTGTAAAAGTATTACTAAACCAGGAAATGAGTTGTATGTGGCTTAAAGGGGTTAGGGAAGTATGCAACTTATACCCATTGAAAATGTCAACACTGACTTCTGCTTGGGACACTTAGGACACTTGTTGACTGTGCAGTATTTCTTGTGGTGATAGCAAACAAAAGCACTGATAGTTGTGGTTTGCTGTGAGTTTCAGTAATGGAGAAACTTGGTCTATCTCTTTCACACTGAGAAAGAAAAAGGATTTCAACATTAATTGTATTGACTGTTTAGTGAACAACATTCACTGAAGCTGATTAAATTGTTCATCCAAACAGTCGCTTTATATAATTTTCCTAATCTAGTTCTTCTGTGTTCTCTCACCTTAGGCGATACAACTCTATAAACCTAGTCCTGACTGCAAAGAAGTGTGGGGAGCAGGGGATTCCTTATCAGTGTAGGAATTCACAAAACAGAAGGTAGCAGATCTCTTGCAAAGGGTTGGACTCTTTGCAGGGTATTTTGAGATCCTTGGGCGAAGGAAGAAGTTTGGTGTGTATTGCGCTGAAGGTGCCTGGGATTTGTTATATAATCCTTCAGGTATGTAAAAAAAAAATATTTCAATCTCCATTTTATTTTAGCTTATTTTATTACATAATTTTG